CCAAAGAGTACAGAATGCAGTGCATTAATAAACGTTTTGGGCCATCTGGGAATGCCCACGTGTCACCCCTTCAGGGGGCTCGGTTTGACACTGTCCTTTACAACACTGTGGATTTGTTGCATCATCTCYGGTGTAGAGTCTGGGGACTCCTTTAGGGGAGTCTTTGATGGGCCACGACAGCCCCTCGACTGTCCCCGTGGATCAGCTTGTCCCGGGATGCAGGGCTCCACAGCTGAGCTGCTTTTTACACCAGAGCACGGGCTGTTCTGTGCGTCTGACCACAGGCACAACCAAAGTCTYTTTTCTCCCCCCATCACCCTTTGGTGTGAGGGTCTGTGCTGGCCGGGCAGCTGATAGCCCTGGGGGGGTGGTCCCCACCCCGAAGGTGCTAAGCTTGATTTCCTTTGTGAATGTGTTCTCTCCCAGCTCTGAGTTGTTCTGTATCTTATCTTTGATCATCCGGCAAATGAGCAGTGTAGCCAGGGTCTCATTCAGGGTTTTGGTGGCTTTCTGGGCAGCTTTTGTATAGTTCTGCTATAATATGCAAAATGTCAGTCATGAAAATGTTTAAGTCATAAACTATAACATTTCAGTCTCTGACAGGGCTGCMCTGGGTTGGGAGTGGAAGCTGTGTGTACCTCCTGGGCATCCAGRCTGATACTTGGTAAGAAAGTCGTGGAGCCTGGGGACAGACACGGCCAAGGACATGAGGGAAGGACCGGCTCCTGCAGCAATGCTTTCTGGTTCTGTGCTGCTGGGGTGAGGGCTGGGTGCTGCTCTGAGTCTGGGCTCTGGGCACAGCTGTGTCCTTTGCACAGAGGTTCAGGGCTGATGAAGACACTTTGCCTGCTTTGCAACTCCTCAAAATCCCTTTGACCCCAGCAAATGCTGGTGCAGGCGAGAGATGCTCCATTTCCTTTGAGGAGAGTGAGAGGCAGAGCATAGCCTTGTCTGACCAGGTTGTGCATCCGGTTATCACCAAGTGTGAAAGACTGGACTTTTATGGGTTAATGACTCAAAACATTCCTTAGTTGTGAAGGTGCTGGTGTGCTTTGCTTGAATGATAGACTGTGAATGAGGTAACAGACAAAGCTTGTGGCAGGATGGAGCCTCATGTCAGGGGAGGATCCGATGGGGCATTCCTGGCTCAAATGTCTGAGAGGCAGCTGTCAAGTCTGTAGAACTTGTCAAAACCCATCAGGGACTCCCTAAGTGCCCCCAGACTAATTTCTGAGGACTTTCACCAGAGAACTGAAAGCTCCCCACCCAAGGAGAGGTACCTGGGCATTCCTGGCCTGAGTGTATTTTAACCCATCTGATTTAGTGTTTTGTGGGCTCCTTTCCCCCACCGCTGATGGACCATCACTTCGACCAAGGGCCAGCTGAGCTGCAGTGATCCAGACTGATCAAAGCCTAACTGGGTGATGAGATTTTCACGTTTTTATCTTCCCTCCCTCCTCCCTTTTCCCTTTCATGTGCCCTTGGGTGATACTTTTGGCGTTTCATATTGGTGGAAATGGTGTAACTTTAACAATTTTTGAAATAACTTTAGTTATGGGTTTGTTCCCTTTGTCACTTGGAGGAGCATTTGAGGTTTCTCTTAAAAAGGCTCCGTTCACTGAGGATTTGAATTTCACTAGGTGAGGCCTGATGGGCTTCAATTAAAATCAACATCTACAGGTTAGGAATAGCCAGCAGAGGCAGAGGAGATAAACGGACATGAACAAACATTACCCCCTTGTTGGGTCAGAGACACATGGTCTGGGAAAAGATTATTAAGAGAACGAAAGAATGAGGAGCAAATTAGCATTGAAGGTGAAGGGATCAATAACCAATAGGAGGTCAAGTACAAAAAAATGTATAATGGAGAACCAAGGAATGAGAATTTCTTTGGGGTTTAGATGTATAAATAGTCTGGTTAAGAACAAGGTGAGCTGGAATGATTTCTACTGCACATCCTGGATGGAATAAAGTAATGCCTGATGCTCTATTTCTTTTATTCCTGCAGCTTCAGTGACAATTTTGCAATGCTTTCATGTTGTTATATTACTATAGATTGTGATCATAAAAATGGCTACATACCTGCTTTCCTTTGCAAACACATTGTCCTAAAAAACCCTATGTACCTGTATTTACACATATTGAACATTTGTTGTTTCACTCCACTCCACCCTAAGGGATCTATTAACAGGAACCTGGGTTACTCCCATGTAAAAGAAAGTACTTGTCACTTCAGAGGAACTGGTGACATGGCTCTTGGGGAGGCCTGTGCTGCCCACAGTGTGGCTGATCTGGTCACAATCACAAGGTGCCCTGAACACGGGGGAGCAGTGGGACAACTCCTCTCCCTGTGATGGTCCTGGGCACTCAGAACAACCTCGGGGAGGACCTATTGTTCCTTCACAGCTGCCCACTCTGGGATGGCTGGGGTAGCTTGTGGGTCCTCCCCTCCCCTGGCACTTGTGGGCCCCTGGCACTTCTGTGCCTCTGCTACTTGTTGAAATCCGCTTCATGCCCATGGTGCTCACGGCTGCAGCATGAGAGGCAGGGAATTGGCCTGGGAATGCCCTGGGAAGACATTTCCCAGCATGAGTGACATGTGCCCAGAACAAGGAGATTTTCAAGACAGGGATGGTGGAAGGCTGAGAGGCTGCTGGCAATGGGGAAGGCTTTGAACAGCCTTTCCAACCACATCTGTCCCATTTTACCTGGCTCCATGTTACAAGTGCCAGAGCAGCAGGCTCTTGACTCGTGGCTCTGTGTAAATGCATCCAATAGCCTGGGTGCAGGTTGGTGATGGAGGAAGGAACCCAAGAGCCACCTCAGTTCACACAGCCTGGGTCAGTAGCAAAAATAAAGGATGCAAAACTCTTGAGTTACCTTGGGGCCCAAGGCGTGACAGCAGGAGGGCAAGGCCAGGGACAAACCCCAGCCTGGTCTGTGCTGAGGCCACCCGGGCTGGAGGCTGGGACTGAGCAGTTCCTTCTGGACTGAGAAGGAAATGGGTTGCAAGAGTGAGCTCACCAGGCAAGAAAATGAGAAACAGATTGGAGCATGGCCAAGTAGGAGCTGGGGCTCAGGGGGGTGGTGCTTTTGTGATAACACTGTATTCTTACATTTTGTCTGCTTTTATGCCCCAAAATGTGCCTGCACCTGTAAGGCAGACCGGGAAGAAGGGGCAGGAGGCAGCGGGCAGTTTAAAGCCGGGCTGCAGCACCAGGGGATCTCAGGTGTCGGGGCTAGGGGAGTTACGTTGTTGTCTCTTAGCCAGTTCTTGGTTTTTTTAACGGGCAAGCAGCTTTTCCCTGGACTGCCATCCTTCAGCGGCTCCTGTGACTTTCTTCTGGAGCAGTTGGGCAGGGCTTTGGTCTAAGAACCAAAAGGCAAGCACCGATCAGCCGGGGGGCCGGCAGGAAAAGCCGCGGGACCGCTGCGCCTCAGCCCCGGACTCTGGAGGATCTGAACCAGCGACAGAAAGCACATCGAGTCCCCTGCTTCATCCATAGTGAAGAGAGGACTACCACCACAGGTTCTGCCAGGTTCCCACTGTTTGCCCGAGCGGCCAGGTGGACTTTTTCTTTTGTTTTTTTACCCTGGGACAAGAGCCATGCCATCTTTCTCTGCACCACGTGCGGAGCGGCTGTGGGGGGAGGGGGCAGCGTGAGTTCCTGGAGTTTTCAATATCTAACATTTATTCATTTTTTATCCGTGTCCTGCAGGCACCTTATTCTGTTAAATAAACTTTTTTTTTTTCTTCACTTTCACCCAAACATCTGTTTTATATTGGTGGGAAAAAATTACCAAACTTTTCACTTCAGAGGAAATGTTCATTCCATAAGGTTTCTCTCTGAAAAAAATTGTCTCAAACCAAGACAGGTGGTCTTGCTGCACTGGCAGCAGGGTGCAGAGTGCAGGGAGGGAAGGAAGAGAGGGATGGTGCCAAGCAGCAAAATTACTTCTGCAYTGCCTCTGGCCACAGAGGAAGCTCCAGCTTTGCTGATAAGGGCCTGTTGAAAGCAGAGGCTCAGAAATTGAGGCTGCTCTGAGGCATTTCTGCTGCTGTTCAGGCCCCTCAGCTCTGTGGTGTTGCTGGGATCAGGGTTGTATATGAGTATTTGCATTCTGCTTTTCTGAATGATCTGTGGGAGGAGCAAAYTCCCCCAGTTTGTGGCAGTGAAATGCCCCAGCGGCAAGTCACAATGAGTTCACCAAGCCTGAGCTGTGAAGGGGGTGCCTTTTAATTGAGACATTACAGATGGTCACTGCTGCATGTCCAGCAGGATCCTGTTTTATGGAACTTACAGTCTTTGTGTTAAAAGGTTTAAAAATCAGCTGCTTTGGGCATAGTCATGGGCTGGTTCCTCCCCGGATGCTGGTCCCAGCAAGCAGAATGGTGAGTTATGGTGGTGAGAACACTCTGAGGGTTCATGGCTGCTGCTCACAGTCCCTGTTCTGCACAAGACACCCATACCCCTCAAATGGTTGTGCTTGAACTTGAGAGGTCTGATGTGGTTGTGCTGTTCCTCCACCTGCGCCAGGATTCGGTTTGTTGAACATTTCCATCCTCTCTGCTGCTGTGGCAGCCTGTGGGGCCCGCAGGGTTCCTTCTCTGTGCAGTCTCTGCCTCCTCCTCCCTTGGGTGTCAGGTGAGACTCGGTGTTCAGGCATCCCGTCCCACAGTGAAGGAAGGACGGGCCCTTGTGCCACTGTTTCCTCCAGCCTCACAGCCTGCCTGGCTCCGCTGGCCCCAGCACCACCGAGACACTGAAAGCAGGAGAAGGCTGACCTGGGGTATCAGTGTCTGCCACAGAGCTGTGGCCAGGTGGAGCCCTGTCCTCAGCTGTTCTTCACTGCCTTCCCTGTGGGCTCCAGCTCGGGAGTGTCAGTCTCCTCTGACCTCTCCGAGAGCATTAGGTAAGAGCTGATGGCTTCCCGCAGGCCCTGGCTGATGAGAGAGTCCTCAGGTGGGGATGTGGTCTCCGAGAACAGGAGGGAGCTGTTTGAGGGCAGATGGGGCAGTCAGCACCCTTGAGGTCCCCTGCCCCACTGCCCCTCAAGGGTCAGCCGGAGGAGACTCCAGCCCCTGCCCCACTGCCCCCACCTCTCGATCTTATCCCAGTGGAGCGATGGATTCCTGACGACAGCAGGCGTTGTGGGGTTTGGGGCTGCCCTCGGGCCTCCTGTGCAGCAGGGCTGGCTGAGGCAGCAGCAGAGCCCCTCACTGAACTCTGGGCAGGAGAAAACAGCATCAGCAGGATGCAGCCCTGCCCCCAACATGCCCGGCCAGAGCGGACAGGCTGCCCCTTTCCCCTCCCTCCTTTCAGGGCACAGCACATCTCCCACCCACAGCTCGGGGTGGTGGGGCCGTACCAGAGTAGTGCTCCACCAGGTTGTGCAGGCTGGGGAAGGTGAGCCGGGCTGAGATGTAGAGCCAGCCATTGTCGAGCCGGTGGATACGGTAGTGAGTTACTGAGGCCGAGGCAGCACTCTTGCCGTGCCGCACTGACAGGGAGTAGCAGCCTGGTGAGCAGAGGACAAAGGGCACATGGCTGGGCTGGCCCAGGCCCTGTCCTGCTCAGCCCCACTRCCCACTGCACTCTTAAACACTGCAGGGGTTCACCATCCTACAGAAGCAGCCAGCATCACCCTTCTCCTTACGGCGCCTCGTGGCTGCAAGTGTCCCCATGCCAGCCCCATGCTKTGGGCAACATAAAAACAAACGATAGGGCTGGGACATTGGGTGACCTYGGTGCCAGCAGCTGCTGCAGAGAGCCCCTGGCAGGATCTCCTCACAGGGTGCCCTCGGTGTGATTTTGCGGGCTGAGCCTTGTCAGGTCTATGCATGACTCAAAGATGCAGGAAGCTGATGGTGGTTTGTYCTCTTGAGGCCCCGAGGCAGGGGCTCAGCACAGAGTGGGGAGAAGCAACAGCAGCCCAGTGGGCAGGGCCATGGCCCCTGGATGTGGGCAAGGACTGCTCCTTCTCACTCCTGGGCACCAGTGGGGAGCACTGGGATGGTACTGGAGACTGATCTGAGGGCTCTCACCTTGCCTGCTCTGGCTCTCCCGTATCAGGAAGGACCCGCTGTCGTTGCCTGGACGGAGCAGCAGCTCCTCGGCCTTCTGCCGGCTGACGCCCTCGTAGAGCCACCTGTGCAGAGAGCGGGCACTGCCAGCGGCTCTCCCTGCTGCCAGGACACCCAGCATCCCAACAGGRGCATGGCCTGGGGACACTCCAGCATGCCATGGCACCTCCCCAAGCCCCAGCACTGCTSCATGGCCCAGGGGGAGAAGCAGAGCAAGACGTTCCAGAGCAGTGGCCACAGTTTGGCCTCAGGGTTGTCCAGGCTCTGCGGTTGTAGCYATGTTCCCCAGGGCCCTCCCTGAAACACCCTTCTCAGCATTTACCCGTGCCTGATCTTGGCCACACAGCTGCTGGGAATGTAGCACTCCTTGCCAGACACCTTGGATGCCACTAGCCACCACTCCCCATCCCTGTGGGGAAGAGAGGTGAGCCATCCTGAGGGGCTGAGGCTGCAGGATGCAGGGAAGATGCACAGGATAGRTGCCATCACCATGGCCCCACTGGCTGGACCCTGGTCAGGAGTGCAGAGACTTACTCCGAGAGGACGTGGACCTGCTCCCCCATTCTCAGGACAGCAGCCACCCCAACACCGGAGGGGAAGTCACAGAGGGCCAGGGCCTGGAAACTGCTGGGGACTGCAGAGAAGGAGAGAGGGCTCAGCATTCCCTTGGCAGAACCAGCCTGGAACCAGGCAGGTGGGGTGCTGGATGAGCTCACAGCTGCTGGGCACTCACCTGCCTGAGTGGGCAGAGGAGGCTGTGAAATGTTGGCAGATGCTGCTGGGATGCTGAGTGGCTTTACCCGGCTGGGCAGATTCCCCATCCTTGGGGTTCAGCCCCCAGGGCTCTGCTGCTGTCTGGAAGGGACTTGGTTCCTGGGTCAGCATCCCCCACTCTGTGTCCCAGGCAGGGCACTGCCACTGGGAGATGCCAGCACAGTCCAGGGCAGGGCTCTGGGCTGTGGCTGAGYCTGGCAGTTCCTCAGGGAGCCCTTTGAGGAAACCATTGTCCCATCACCACCACAGGGGATGTGGGTACTCCCCAGGACAGCATGTGGACAGTCCCCAGCCAGGCTGTGTCTCTGCTGCCATCCCATCCCAGCCCCACATCCCCCAGAATGTGGGGCACCATTCCAACATCCCCATGGAGATTCAGGAGCTGTGGGAACACATCTTTCAGTTCCTTGACCGTGGAGAGCTGTGTGTGACCCAGAACTCTCCCAGGCTGGGACCGTCTCCTCCCCCACCCTAACCTCTTCCTGCCCTCAGGAGAGGTGAACTCCACTTACCTGCTCCTCACTGCTGTCACCGGTTTTTGGGTGCTATCGTGCCCAGGCAGCCATTGGCCAGCTCTGCCCTCCCGGCACAGAGGGGCCTCAGGGCACCCAGGGTGGCAATCCCTGCCCTTGCCAGAGCCTCTGGGTTTGCCCTCTGTCCCGCTCTCAGCTGGCTGTTGGTCCTGGCAGCGCTGCCGTGAACGGCTGCGAGGYGCTGGGGCTGTGGTTGCTGCTGCTTCCTGTGACGTGCACACACTAGAGTGGGTTTCTCCTTTTCACTCAGTCACAGGTCACTCAGCTGAGCTCCTCAAGGCACTCCTCAGGCCCAGGAGAATCCCTACAGGCACCAAAAGGCACTGTGGGCATCCCATGGGATTCATGGGTGGGCAAGTGGGACGGATGAGGAGCACGTCTGATAACGGGACTTGTAGGCTGAGGCCTGAAGACAGCATCCCCAGGGTGGTCTCAGTGAATGGGATGTGTCCCAGGATGTCTCCTCGGCTGCAGAAACACCAGGGTCCCCAGCAGGTCATGGTGCTGGATGTGATGGGCAGGGGTGGGTACCTGCCTGACACAGGCTGCACTCAGCTCAGCCCCAAAGCAGCTCTGCCCCACAGCAGCTCTGCCCCACACTGGCACTGCCCASYCTGTCCCTGTCTCAGGTTGGGTGATGAGTGGTACCAGCCTCAGCTCTGTCCCATCCCCATCCTCAGCCCCATCCAGGTCCAGCAGCTGCTGCTGGTGTAGGACCATTCATTGCCCAACCTGTGTGTGCACCATTCACCTTCCAAAGTGAAAGGCAGCACCATCCACACCCCCATCCAACCCCCCACTCCCCACAGGTCAGGACCCTCTGATGCACCCCCTTCCCTGCAATCCAGCCCTGAGAGAGGCCATGGGGATTTGCTCTTGGCAGCTCCTGAATTCATGGCCCAGCTGAGCAGCACCACTGTGTCCCCCCCCTCCCAGCACTTCCTGCTGGGTCCCTGCACTGTTTGCAGACATTTGCAGCCTCCTGTTGCCGCACCTGCATGTCCTGTTCTGTCTGTGCTGAAAATTGCAAGTTTCTGGTCAATTGTAACCTCCTTGGTGGTGTGAAATGCACTCAGGTTCAACAGGGCCTTGCACTGCTGTTGGGGTTCAGGACCCCCTCGAGCCTTCCTGGAGCTCAGCTTTCCTGCTCTGTGAGGAGTTGATAACATTWGGCAGAAGATCTATTTGCTCTTGGAACTGATGGTGCAGCCCCACTGTGGTCCTTTGTGTTGTGGGGATAACCCTTGGTGTGCACTGACTTGCCCCCACCTGGAGCCCTACTCTTGGGCTCAGTGCTGAGAAATAAAAATGGGTCCCCCAGTCATCCTCTGGAGCCTGAACAGTGGGACCAGGCAAAGGGGTGTCTGCTGCCTCTACCATGGTGTGCACAGGCCTGGGGGAAGAGAGGGCTCCTGTGCCCCTCCTGACACCAGAGACACCTGTTAGGCTTTGCATACAGTATGTGGGATGCAAAAGCATAGTACGGGTACTACAAAAGAACCATAACAGGTGTCTYTGGCSACAGSAGGGGCACAGGAGCCCTCTCTTTCYCCCGGCCTGGGTACACATGGACAGTGACAGCAGAAATGCACCAGCTTGTGCACTCTGATCTGCTGGGGAAGGCCAAGGCTCCAGGCCAAGTGAGGCACAGCCAGATGGTGTCAGAGTTTAGACCGAACAATTGTTGTGAGGGGCACGAGCCCCTGATGGSCCCAGTCCTGTGTCACCCTCAGTGTGTGACTGACACAGCTTGGCTGTGGCTCCACCCTGAACACCTCCAGCACAGACATCTGTCCCCACTGCTCATCCTACAACCCTACCACCCTTCTGCCTTAAAAGCAAGGGAAGATCCCAGCACCAGTTCTGAGCCTCCCAATTACAAGCCTTTGGCTGCTGCTCCTCACAGCATCTTCTGGCACCAAGAAGAGTTTGATTCCATCCTTTTTGCCAAGGAACAAGTCCAGGTGTGAGGGGACAGGGGTTGTTCGTGGCTCGGCCTCAGGGCTGGGGCAGCTGAGCGCAGGGTCTGTGATTTCTGGGTACTGCACAGCCCTCCTGTCCCAGCACTCGAGGCCCTGCAGCCCCCATATAAAAACCTCAGCCCAACAGCAAGTTGCATTTTTCCACCAGTGACCTGGAGCTGAGCWGAGCCAGACTCACCTCACGCTGCTGAAGGAGCCACTGAGACATAAAATTTGGGATTTTGGGTTGGACATGCCACTGAATGAATTTGTCCCACGATTTTGAGCAACTGGGAGTTCAGTCCYAAGGGAGAGCATAGAAAAGTGCTGGCTCCATTCACTGACACCTTCTGCTGGGCATCCCTGTTCCTGAGAGCAGGAACAGGTCAGAAACACTCCACTGATTTACAGGGTCTTACTCCAACACCTGGGCTGCCTCTCGAGGGGTGGGAATGCACATTTGCACCCCGTGGCACCCAGCTCATACCCCAGCAGACAGAAGGAATCAGGATCCAAGCCCAGGGAAGGCAGTCCCAAGCTCAAGCGCTGTGCCTGGATTTGGTTGGTGTAGTCCATGCCATCCAAAGAAACCCTTTGTCCTTACTAAACTATTTTCTCAGCTTGTATTTGCCTTTCAATTTTTTGCTTTACTAACAGTAAAAGCATTTGCTTAAAAAACAAGTCCACTTTTACCAGTTATCCTAAGGACAATACATCTTTGCAACCATCACGTACACATCTTTCCTGCTTCTGTTTTTGAACCACCAGGACAACAACACTCTCTGCTCAACTGCTCCTCTTCCAAATCGCTGGTCTCATCTCTGTACTAACCTGAGCTCCTGCACCAGGAGCAGACTGGAGCTTGGAGCTCTCCTCTGCATCATCACAAACAGCACTTCAGTTAGCCAGTCCCTRTKGMAGGATYATTTCCTCCAACTCATTTAACTGTCATTAAATAGTTTTTCCTTTCTTTTGGGCTGTATTTCTGGAGGCAGGACCATTTTTGGGTGCAGTCAGCTGGCAATACATCCCAGCTACAAACCTTCACAGGCTCCTGTACTGCACATGGTGCAGCACCTGCATCCAGAAGTGAACTTTCCACCGTGTCCAGGGGCTGGGTTTCTTTGGTAGCCTTCTGTCTCCTACAGATTTAAACCTTTGGTTTTGCTCATTTAATCCCTTTCTACCTCCACTACTTGTTCATTGGTAAAACTGGCCAGTTTTTCCCATTCTCAACTTTCATTCAGTTTACAATTCATGTGAACAGTCTCATTTCTGCAATGACCTCCCCCAAGGTCTCAGACAGTCCAGGCACACGGCTGAAGGACAAGGACAGTGAGACTGGGACTAACTCATGCCCAYCACTGTATCCCTGCTCCAGCCCAGGGTGATCTCCATGGGTTACTGTGACACCTGACAGTGGGAACAGAAGCTGGCTCTGGAAAGCAGCAGGTGAAGAATCAGGTGTGTTTCCACACCAGGCTGCTGCACTTCACTTCCCTGTGGCTTCTTGCTGCCCACAGACATCCCCCTGCTGCCCAAAGTGCCCTCTGTCCTCCTGTGTTGTGACAGTGGCCCTGTCACAGGTTAGCTTTGTGTCATAGTCCTGTAGCCCTGCTCCAGGGAGAGCAGGTGGCTTGGAGTGCTGGCTGTCGGGAGGTGGCTCATGCCTTGTTGCAGCAAACCTGTTGTTTTGTTTCCATTCTGGACGTTTCTGGTTGCATTTTGGCAGAGGCCAGCTCTCCAGCACCCTTGGACAGCCTCTGGCAGGGGCCACCAACCGCATTATCCTGGTGCAGAGGTGYCCAGTCCTCTCCTTGCCATAGGGRTGTCTGCTGCTTGCAGCTGGAGACACTCAGACTGCCAAACCCCCAGGGGTGCGAGTCATGCCAAGATAAATACCAGCACGCAGGGTAACAATGGAACTCAGTTATAGCTTTATTCAATAACAGGTACAAAGTCCCCCTCAGGCAGAGCCTCCAGGTCCCATTCCCTACCTGAAATAGAGCAGAACRTGAGCATGACCCTGGGAGGAGCTGGCTCCCAGCTGGTCAGGGCTGCTCAGCAGCGAGGAAAGGGTGTTCTGCTYATCAACTGAGACTTGCAGCAGCCTGACCACTCATCCCTTTTCTCCTGTCAACACCAGACCCTGGCCTACAGCAGGCATCTGCTGTCCACCTTGGTGACCGGCCAGGTTTAAAAAGGTAGCAGAATTGTGAATCCCACACAGACAGWAACTAGCACCTGCACAGAGGTGTTCACTGCTCACCCTTCTGACCTGACTCACAGGAATGTGTGATTGCTGGCTGTTGCACTCACTGGTTTCCTGCCCCCACATAACAGCACCCTGTGCAGATCCTGCCTGGGGTGGCAGTAGTGGGATGCAGAGCCGACAGTGCAGGAGATTCTGGAATCTCCACCTGGCAAGAGGCACTGCTTCCCATTTCACAACCTGCTCAATGTTAAAGATTCACATGTGCCAGGGTACAACAGTGACCATGTCACTGCATCCCACCCTTCTGCTGGGTCAGCAGAAGGTTGTGGAGGTGGTCTAGAGCCAGGGCTGCTGGAGTTTAATCCCTTGTACTGGGTTAATAGTGCACCTTGTTARTGTAGTTTACTGGTTAATCACTTTGCTTTTTCAGGAGGCTCAGATAAAAAATCACTCTGCTCCTTCTTAATATACATACACAGGTAAGACCCATACAGTATTCTTGACCATTTGTCCTTCTCAGGCTGCCTGGCATGTGAAACAGYCCTGGGAACACACAGACCTTCCAGTGGATTCAGCGCCCCAGGAGCCTCTCCACACAGAGCACAGCCTGCTCCAGCGCCTGGAGTGCCACATCCTCATGGTCTTACTTTCCTATGTCCCACCAACGACATACCAACTTCACCACAAGGGTCCTTTAGCAGAAGCACAACTAGAAAGCAATTCTAAACCTCACAAAGCCACAGAAATTATATTTAAATGAAGAGGGGAGACAATGGCTGTCATCTGGATTGATACACAGCACAGACAGGAGATGGCATCAGCATGTACAGTAATGGGACTTACTAAGACTGCAGAATGACAATGAGTTTTAAAGAGACTGTGATGCCAAGGGGATACAGAAAGGATCAAAGTAATGTCAAGTACAGACTACCAAGGAGGTGGCTGCTTGGATGGGCATGCACAAGTTAGAG